AATAAAGCAGATTTAGGTACATTATATGTTTTGATCAAATCCAGCAAATCCTAAGATGTATTTTATAATTTAATTTGCAGTTTGAAAGTAGTCTTTCCTTTTAGCCATCCAAGTGCCAGATTACATAAAATTCATGTATTAATAATGTCATGTATGTAAAAGTGTTTTACAGATTGTAAAAAACATCATGCATATGAAATTGTAAACCATTTTAGTTATAATTATTCCATATGTAACAACCTTCCTCTATTTCCACCTGAGCATTTAACACTCAGGCATAAGGTGGTTATAGAGGATCTTAGATTAGCCACCTTCTTTTCTGACTCTAGAATAATTCTTATCAAGAAAATTTTGCCAAGTAGAAGTTAAATATTATTCTCATTTTCTAACTAGCAGTCTTTAACAGACAAAAAAAATCAATGCCATTTCCTTAACAGCAAATTATATTCCACTTCTGTGCATTATAGCACTTTTCTTGGAGTTGATAAATAAGAAAAAAATACTGATGGTCATTTAATTTACTAGGATTTACTTAAATGAACTGACAGAAAGAACCTAACTCTTAAAATAATTGATTTTTCTCTCCATCAGATGAAAAATGTACAATAGAGTAAATGAAAGTCTTTTAAACAAAAGTAATTTTCTATTCATTAAAGAAAACATAAAATACACTTATCCAAGCCTTTGAAAAAAAATTACTTGCAGGTTATTAACCTATTTTAAAGAAATAAATTTTAAATAGTGTTCAGAGCATTTCCCGACCTGGTATACATTAAAATGGAAAATGTTTTAAACCAAATAAATATTCCTACCCCAAGGTTCTTGCTATATACCAATGCAATAAAATAGCTGAATATAGGTAAGTGATTTGAAGATGACACTCTCATGACAGGAAATGGCAGCAGGGAGACCTAGAAAAAATCTATACTGACCTCGCCACCGTTCAACTCCTATTGGCAGTTGTCACTCCAAAGGCGATATCACATAAAAGCTTTGTGATCTGTAGCTTAAGTTTCCATAGTGGGGCAAAATTCCTTTACCTCTAACCCACCCTCTCAGACATCTCTTCTCTTCTCTTCACTTTTGCAAACTACTGACAGTTTCACCTGGGCAAGATGTTTTTCACTCAGATTTCAGATTGATTCTTGTTATCATCCTACCCCTAAATCCTTTTTTTTTTTTTTTTGAGACGGAGTCTTGCTCTGTCACCCAGGCTGGAGTGGAGTAGCACAATCTCGTCTCACTGCAACCTCGGCCTCCCGGGTTCAAGCGATTCTCATGCCTCAGCCTCCCAGGTTGCTGAGAGTATAGGTAACCCACCACTATGCCCAGCTAATTTTTGTATTTTTAGTAGAGATGGAGTTTCACCATGTTGGCCAGGCTGGTCTTGAACTCCTGACCTCAGGTGAGCCACCCACTTTAGCCTCCCAAAGTGCTAGGATTATAGGTGTGAGCCACCATGCTTGGCCGTTACCCCACATCTTCTCATTACAAATGATCAATTGTATAAAAGGATATGCTGGTTAGTTATGTTTTTCTTAAATTATGTAGCACTCAACTCCATTTATTTGCCATCTCCTACCTTCTCTGGTTTGACTAAATTTTTCCACAGAGGAAACCTTATTGGGATTCAAACGGTGCTTTTTGAATTTAATTTTAGCATATTTTGAACACTTAGCTTGTTTAAATGTTCTTGAAATCTAGGGATAGAAGAAGATTCATTGTGAATTCTATAAACATCATCCATAATTTAGAAAATGTATAGAATTTATAGACATGAGTCTATAGTCCTCTATTCCAAAAAATTGGTTTAAAAAGGAAAAATTCCACTTAATCTTGCCTATTTATATGATGTGAGATGATTAGCATTTGCTTGATATTTTACCATGCTTTATGCCTGAATCTTGTAGACATGTTCTAGGGTAAAAGAAATAGCAAAGATTTCTTCCAAGAGCTCCTCAGAGATCAATCCAGAAATTGCTAGAAGTTTTACATCAGAGGAAATTAATAAGATCATAACTTTGTTATTGTGCAATCTGCCAAAAAACAGTGATCCCCATTCTAGTATCATAGTTTGGGGGCAGGTCTCTAATTTTCTTGGCCCTTGGAGAGGGAGCTCTCATGATCGTCCAATCAAATAATTCTCTAAAATCATTAATGTATTTAAAAATACTTAATATCTACAAAGTGCTAGTGTCATTCCTTTTACCTGGATGTTCTTTCCTGCTCCTTGCATGAACTTTATTCCTATTCATTCTTGAATGTTTAGGGCAGATGTTAGTGCCTTCATGAAGCCCCTCCCCACCCTTTCTTTAAGGATGGCATGACAGAATTTCCAGGATAACGTGACTCATTCTATTCAACCAGAATAAGTAGAATAAGTCACATTATCCTAGGAAATTTCTTCTTTTCTGAATAACACATTTGTTGAGATATAATCCACATATCATAAATTTCACTCATTTAGACAGTACAATTCAATAGAGTTTATATATTCATAGCATTGTGTGTCAATCACTATAATTTAATTCTTGACCTTTTACATCACCCTGAAAAGAAACCTCATACCATTATCATGAACTCCCCACTCCCTCGTCCCCCCACCTCCTAGCGACCGCTAATTTAATTTTTGTCTTTATAGATTTGCCCCTTTTGAACATATTCTAGAATGAAATAAAAATATGGGCTTTTGCGTATGCCTTCTTTTACTCGTTTTACTATTGTTTTAAAGGGTCATCCATGCTGTAGTGTGTCATTTCTTTTTATGAACAGATAACATTCCATTGTATAGATATACCACATTTTGTTTATTCATTCATCAGCTGATGGTCATTTGCGTAGTGTTCGCTTGTTTTTGGTTACTATTGATAATGCTGCCACATATATTCATGAGGTCAAATCAAATAATTCTTTAAAATTTTTTGAGATTAATTCATTAAAAATATGTGCATGTTTTATATGGGCATACATTTTCAATTCTCTTATATATATACCTAGAAGTAGAATGGCTGGGTCATATGGCAACTTCATGTTTAACATTTTAAGAAACTACCAAACTGCTGTACAAAGTGGCTATACCATTTTACAATGCCATCAGCAATGGATGAAGGTTCTAATTTCTCCACATCCTTGACAACACTTGTTATTCTCCATCTTTGTGACTTTAGTGAATCCAGTGATCATGAAGTGGTATTTCATTGATATAGTCTGAATGTTGTCCCTTCTAAATCTCATGTTGAATTGTAATCTCCAGTGTTTGAAATGGGGTCTGGTGGGAGGTGACTGGATCACGGGGGAGGATCCCTCACGGCTTGGTGCCATCCTCTCCATAGAGAGTGAGTTCTCACAAGATCTGGTTGTTTAAAAGTGTGTGGCACCTCCCCCTACCTGTTGCTCCCACTGTCACCATGTGAGATGCCTGCTTCCCTTTCACCATCAGCCATGACTGTAAGCTTCCTGAGGCCTTCCCAGAAGCCAAGCAAATGCTAGTGCCATGTTTGTACAGCATGCAGAACCATGAGCCAATTAATCTTCTTCTCATTACAAATAACCCAGTCTCAGGTATTTCTTTATAGCAATGCAAAGAATAGCCTAATACACCCAGTGTGGTTTCAATTTAATTTCCCTGATTAATAATGAGTCCCTCTACATAATTAATGATTCTGAGCATTTTTAAATATATACTGAAAGATTCTTAAGTGTGGGTCCCAAATATTATTTATTTTACCATCTCAAGAGCCAAATGCAAACTGGAATATAGTAGGGATATGTTTATAGTAATAATTATAAAAAGAATGAATACATATTTAATTTTTATCAATATGTAATGACGAATTTTATGTGTAAAATAGACTGGGTTGAGAAATGCCTAGAGAACCGGTAAAGCAGTACTCTGGGTATGTCTGAGAGTGTGTTTCCAGAGGAGACTGGTGTGTGAATCAACGGGCTGAGTGAGGCAAGTCTGCCCTCAATGGGACACCATCCAAATGGCTGGGGGCCTGGATAGAACAGCAAGTTCAATTTCTTCTCTCTTTCCTGGAGCTGCAATCCTCCTCTTTTCCTGTCCTTAGATAGCAGAACACCAGGCTCTCTGGCCTTTGCACTCCAGGCCTTATATCACAGCCCCCTGGATTCTTGGTCTTCCAGCCTCAGATTGAGTATTATGCCGTTGGTTCTGAGGCTTCTGAACTAGGACTGAGCTGCACTGTCAGCATTCCAGGGTTGCCAGCTTGCAGACAGACTGTCATGAGACTTCTCATCCTCCATAATTGTGTGAGTCAATTCTCCTAATAAATCCTCTGTATGTTTATCTATACAATCTATCATCTATCTATCTATCTGTCTATCTGTCTGTCTATCTACTCATCCATCCATTCTACTGGTTCTGTCTCTCTGAAGAACACTGAAGAATACAGAATTTGGAACTAAGAAGTGGGGCTGTTACTATAACAAATACCTGAAGATGTGAAAGTGGCTTTGGAACTGGATAATGGGTAGAAGCTGGAAGAATTTGGAGCAAGCTAGAAAAACTCCATATTCCTTACCTTCTGCTAAGGACAATTCAGTGAGGGCTCAGAAGATGAGCTGTAGGAAGTACCTAAATCTTCTTAGGGATTACTTAAGTGGTTACAATTAGAATGTTGGTAGAAATACAAACAGTAAAGGCCATTGCGAAGAGGTCTTAGACAGAAATGAGGAATATCTGTGTGTGTGTGTGTGTGTGTGTGTGTGTGTGTTAAGTGTATGCCCTTTAAGGTTTTTAATTGTAATTCTCTTTACATTTTATCCTTATTGGAATAGTTCTTGCATTTCTACAAAGTCACAATAAAAAGATAAAAGTAAATTTTAAAACAAAGGAAATAAGATAATCAAGTACTTCATGTACTTTCTTTTATTCTTTTAACTAGAACTTCAAGACCTGCAAAAAATTATATGAATGAAAATAGTGGCTTTGGGACCCAAGTTTGTCATAATTTGGGGGAAGTTTTGGTTTTTCTCAGTCGAAAGCTGTATTATTATAGAGTTAAAACATTTTTACACACCAGCAATAAATTCAGGTAACACATGTCAACACATCTTGACCAGAAATTAGGAATATCTTATTGGAAACTGGAGTAATGGCCATCTATATTATAAATTGGCCAAGAACTTGGCTGAATTGTGCCTGTGTCTTAGGGCATTATGAAAGGTGGAACTGAGCAGTGAACTAGGATATTTAGTGGAAGAAATTTCTATGCAAAATATTGAAGGAGCTGCCTGGCTACTTTTAACTGCAAATATATTAAGATGCAAGAGGAGAGAAACACTTTCAAGATAAAATTTACATTTAAAAGGCAAGCAGAGCAGAGTTCTCAACCTGGACATGTAAAGAGTGAAGGCATCATTAGAACAAGGCCCAAACAACCCTCTGACAAAGGGATTAGCATGGCTAGAAGTCAGCCAGATGCTATTCATCAATACAATAGGAGAAAGACCCCAAAGACATTTCAGAGCTCTTCAAGTCTGCCCCTCCCATGACTGGCCCAGAACAGGATCTTGAGGGCAATGTTTCCAGAAAGGTGCCAGTGGGATATCAGCATTTGCTGCCCTTAAATGCTTCAAGTCTCTGCTTCTCTCATTGAAGCACAGCATTTCTTGGCCATCCCAGCTGTATCTCAATTGGGCCCAGCTGCAATTTGTGTTCCCACTCCAGAAGGTGTAAACAGTAGCCTTGGTGGTGTCCGTGCGGTGCTAATTCTATAGCTGTGCTAAATGCAGTGAGGCCATAGTAGCCTCCACTTAGATTTCAGAGGATGTCATGGACAGCTTGGAAATGCAGAGTAAAAATGTGGGGTTGGAGCCTCATCCCCATGCCTAGTGGAGCCATGGGGATAAGGCCGCCTCAGAAACCCCAGAACTGTAGGTCACCAGCATGCAACTTCAGCCTGGGAAACCTGCGGACGTGAGATTCCAACCCAGCAGAGTCGCTGAGTGGACTGAGCCCAGGAAAGCCATAGGGGCAGGGCTACCTGATGCCTCGGGGGCCCAACCCCACCCTAGTGTGCCCAGGATGCAGGACATAGAGTCAAAGGTCAATATTCTCCAACTTTAAGACTTAATGTTGTTTTCTCTGTTGGGTTTTGGACTTACTTGAGGCAAATTATTCCTTCTTTTTGACCTATTTCTCCCGTTTGTAATGGGAATGTCTATCCTACGCCTGTCCACCTGTTGTCTTTTAGAAGCACACAATTTGTTGATTTCAAAGGTTCACAGCTGGAGAGCAATTTGACTCAGAATGAATCATACCTTATGTCTCACCCACATCTGATTCAGATGAGACTCTGAATTTTGGACTTTCGAGTCGGTGCTGAAAACAAGAAACCCCTAAGCCAATTAAGAAAGCTCATCCTAAAAATTCTGTTCCTCTAGAATCATTCCTAGTACCAATTCTCTGTCTTAGTCTGTTTGTGCTGTTATAACAAGATAATCTGAGACTGGTCAATTTATAAAGAACAGAGATTTAATTTTTAAACTTCTAGAGGATGGAAATCCAAGATCAAGGACCCTACAACTGGGGCTTTTATGCTGCATGATGACATGGAAGAAAGTGAGAAGGCAAGAGAGTGTGAGAGCAACAGGAGGTAAGGGGGCTTTTGGGATGAAACGAATGTATTTTTCATGTGAGAAGGACATGAATTTTAAGGGCCATGGGCATGTTTTGTGTGTGTGTATGGTTTGAACATGTTTCCCTAAGTTCATGTGTTAGAAACGTAATCCCCATAAAAGCAGTGTTGAGAGGTAGAGACTTCAAGAGGCTCTGTCTTCATTGATGAATTAATGTTATCTCAAGAGTGGGTTAGTTAACATGGGAGTGGGCTCCTGATAAAAGGATGAGTTCATCCCCCTTATCTCCTAGAACTCTAGGAGGTAGAACTGTAAGAAATAAATACCCAGTTGTTTTTTTTTATAAATTACCCAGTGTCAGATATTCTGTTATAACGGCACAAAGCAGAGTAAGACAGAGAATTGGTACCAGGAATGGTTCTAGAAGAACATAATTTTTAGGATGAGTTTTCTTAATTGGTTTGGGGATTTCTAGAATTGGCTGCCTTATCTGATTAGACCTAAAAGTGCTGAGAACTCTACTTCTAATAGTACAGACAGCGCTGATAGTTCATGGTATAAACTGTTTCTAGGGATGCACAAAACATCTGCATTTGATACTCCTAATTCACCACTTATAAAAGGCAAGGAACTTGGCAACTGTATATATGATACCTTCAAACATTTGTGGAAAACCATAAATAGCCTAAGAGCTTCTAAGTGTGTCCTGAGGGAGAATCTTCTCTCCTGTAGATGCAGAGCTGAAATAGCTGAAAATCAAATACAAGCCCTCATCATGTAATTGGTTGAATTGCAACAAAAGTTTAACTCTCAGTCTTGAAGGCCATCCACAGTTAAAGTCAGGGCATTGGTTGGTAAAGAATGAGGTCCCATATAAAGTATATGGTGGTGTCAGAAAACCCAGATGCAGCTAGGGACATCAAGCTCTTAAATTCTGATGAGTCTTGATTGTCAACAGAAGTGACCTCTCCATTCCTAGCAGCTGCACATTCCCACCTGCAGTGAGATCAGCCTTTCCACCTCTAACAGAGGGAATTAACTCTGCATTTGCCTGAGGAAATGGCAATGTCCTCCTCTGAGGCAGCTGTCAAGTGAGGCAATGCTGATGCTCCTCAGGATTCAACTCTACCACCCCTCTTTGCTTCTAGATCTGTAAGGAGACTCAAGTCCTAGGAGGCCCCTAAGAGTGAGGTACAAAGTGTGGCCACGAGGAGGTGCACTATACCATAAAAGAGCTACTTGAATGTTCTAATTTGTATAAGCAGAAATCTGGGGAACATGAATGGGAATAGACATTAAGGGTGTGGAATCATGGTGGAAGGAACATGAAGTTGGATCAGGCCAAGTTTATTGGTATGGGCTCACTAAGCTGAGATTATGCATGCAACGTTGCAGTTTGGGGAGTTAGGAAAGGTTCTAACAGTTTGGTTGATTGCCTAAAACATGGATCAAAAGATAGCCCACCGTGAGTGAGTAGGAATGACCTAAACACCCTATCTCCCTGTTTACGATAGAGGAAGGAATGCAAAGGCTTAGGGAGACTGGAATGCTAGCATGGATTTGTCACTTAAAATCTACTCACCCACACATACCTTTCACCAATACTTTGATAAATTGACTTATAAGGGGAGACCCAGCATCCCTGAAGAATTCCGCGATTGCCCTTCTCTGAAGACAGGTCCTTGAAGTGGGAATTGGAGTCACTCAATTGAAAAAAAAGAAATGCAGTGGTAATGACTGGATGCCATGGTGGCAGAGGACAAGTGGCAGCATTCAATCATCCGTAACAAAGTGGGTGTAGGTACCATAATGGACAGCAGAAGCAAAGCAACATTCATAATGGTCTGACTCATGTAGATTCAAACACTGAATGAATGTGCTGCTGGTTAGTTATTCATGATGTTTCTAGAAGTGAAATAAATAGTAAACCTATTAAGTGCTTTCTTGATCTGCATTGGCAGAAAACTTTCAGGTCAAGTGAACAGAAGTTGAATTCAAATCATAAAAAAAAAGGAATCATAGCCCCTCAATCAATTCCCAGACTTGAGCCAGTTTACAGATCCCGAACTCCGTGAATGAAGAGGAGGCTGTATGCCCTCCAGGAAGAACCCTGATACATTAGTGAAAATTTACTGTTAATCAATTTCCCATTTTTCCCCAAAGGGACTTACCACCATTTACCAGGGTAACTACATGGGAGGAAAGAAAATAATCAGACCTTTCAGGGTTACTAGACCCTGGCTCTCAACTAACAAGAGTCTTGAAACATCACAGCCACCCAGAGTAGGAACTTCTAAAGGTCCCGTAATCCACATAGTTTTAGCTCAAGTCTGCCTCCCAGTGGGTACCCAAAACCCAGCCAGTGGTCATTTCCCCAATTCCAGATGCATAATTACAATAGACATATCCAGCAGCTGTCAGAATCCACATATTTGAGTAGCGAGGGCTATTACAGTGGCAAAGGCCAAATACAAGCCATTAGAGCAGTCTCTACTTAAGAAAATGGTAAACTAAAACCAAAACCATATCCCTGGAGATGATTGCAGAGGTTAGTGCCAACATCAAGGCACTAACTTGAAGGATACAGGGGTGGTGATTCCCTCCACATCCTCGTTCAACTCTCCTATTTGACCTGTGCAGAAGACATGGATTCTGGAGAATAACAGTGAATTATCATTAGCTTAACCAAGTGGTGACTCCAATCACAGCTGCTATACAAGAGTGGTTTCATGGCTTGAACAAATTAACACATCTTCTGGTACTTGGTATGCAGTTATTGACTTGGCAAATGCCTGTTTCTCTCTTTCTGTCTATAAGGCAGTTTGCTTTCAGTTAGCAAGGCCAGTAAGACACCATTACTGTCCCACGTCAGGGGTACATCAACTCCCCAGGCCTATGTCACAGTTTAGTTTGCAGAAATCTTGATCAAGCTTTCCATTCACAAGATATCACACTGGTCCATTACACTGATTTACATTCTGCTAATTGGGCCTAGTGAGTAGTGAAGTAGTGACTACTGTGGACTTATTAGTAAGACATTGGCCTGTCAGAAAGTGGAAAACAAATACAACTAAAATTTGGGGTTCTTCTGCTTCAGTCACATTTCTAGGGGTCCAGTGGTGTGGGGCATGTTAAAAAGGCCCTTCTCAGCTGAAGAATAAGTAGTCACATCTGGTCCTTCCTACAACGAAGAAAGAGCTACAATGCCTAGTTGGTTTATTTGGATCTTTGGAAGCAACACACTTCTCATTTGGGTGTTATTCCAGTGCCTCCACTGAGTGACTGGAAAACCTGCTAGTTTTGAGCAGAGTGCGGAAGAAGGCTCTGCAACAGCTCCAAGCTGATGTGCAAAATGCTCTGCCACTCGGGTCATATAATCCAGCAGATCCAATAGTGCTTTAGATGTCAGTGGCAGGTAAGGATGCTGTTTGGTCCCCTTGACAGGCCCCTATAGATGAATCACAGCAGAGGCCCTTAGGA